GGAGGTTGCTTCAGCTACCATTATCTGGATTAACAGAGGTGGTGCACAGCTCTGACCTTTGCTAGGGCTTCAAAGGTCACCAGCCTCCCGGGTTCTCTGTCTACACCTCTCTGCTAGTGAAGACAATAGGCGGTTTCCCACATCGTTACAAGTCTGGAATACATGGTGATGTTAGTTATGATATATTCATGAACTAAGCATTTATTGTTATGCTTGCATAATAACATGTCTTTTTAAAGTGTTTTTTTCCTTCCCATTTATGACATTTCCCCTACATGTGTTATTGAGGCACTAGTGTATGATTATACCAAATAGTCATATATACCAGTAATACATTTATGACATTTCCCCTACATGTGTTATTGAGGCACTAGTGTATGATTATACCAAATAGTCATATATACCAGTAATACATGGTAACATATGCCTATATGAGACAGGTGTCTCTATCAGATTATTCTGACATGCCAGTGAAGGGCATTAATTAATTCTCCTCAATTGATTGTTAAAGGCCTTTGAATTTAACTTGAAACTCAGAATAGCTTTATTCCATGTATCTCCCAGAGAGTGTAATATTGAGTTCACTGTCCCTCAAAATCTACCCAGCACTCAGGCCAGAGAACAACCTTCAGAGAGGAACGCTGGAAGATGCTTTATCATTTATCCTGAACAAGCCAGGTCTTCAGATGGCTTCCCCCCCACACACACGACATGCCACTGGCATTGCATTGGTTCTCTGCAGAACCACGTTGCCTTGTTATGCCCAGATTTCAGGATCCCCAAGAGACCACACCAGGGAGCCAGCCGAGTCCGATGCAAAAGCATAAGAATCTTTATTCAAGCTAGCTTGAGCTCCCCCGACACTCGCCAACGCAGCGGCAAGCAGCCGAGAGAGGGCTAGCTCTGTGGGAAGAGGGGTTTTATAGGGGGGTTGGAGTAAGGGGAGGAGAGAGGACTGTGGGCCCTGCCGATTGGCCAGGCGCAAGTCGGTGTCTTGTTACACAGGATGTGGTCATATCTATGGCCCGAACTTCCCTTGATTATCATTGGTTAGTTTAAAGAAATCCTAGGTGTGGCTAGCAGAGGCTTGGGCTTCTTCTGGCAAGAAGCTCCTTGCTGAGCACATGGCTAATGGCTGCTGCCCAAAAATGGAGGATCCGGGGCAAGATGGAGGGCATAGCCCTCGCCCTTTCAGCCTGAGCTGTACTTTGTAGCTCTGCCATCAGCCTTTGTTGACAATCATAAGGAACAGCCCTGTGCCGGTGGCCTGTGTGTCTGCTGTATGGATGTTATTGAGACCATTCATCTTTACGTGATAAAACCTGTGTCCTCTCCATGAAGACTCACAAGAGAAATTAATTTTTCATCTCAGTGGCAAGAACAAAGGTCTTTTTAATTCATTCAGTAAACATTTACTGAGCATCTACTACTTGCACGCCATGTGAGACGTTGTGGATATACTAAAAAATGAAACAGTCTGGTAGGGAACACAGACATCAAATAACCAATTAGCCCATTAATTATTATAGTTTTGATAAGTGCTAACAAGGAAAAATAGTCGGTGGAGCTTAGGGGTGCCGGTAGGGGACTTAGGGGGTCAGTGAAAGGTTATTAAAGGACGTGGTATTTCTCCTGAGCAATTGTGTAATTTTCTACTTAACCATACTATCCTCTTCATTTTGGCTGCTGGGAAGTTAAAAGTCAAATTTTGGACTCATCTCTTGAAAGGGTATAGGATTTGAGGTCTAATTTAATTTCTGGATTCATTTATTTGTGGAAAAAATATTTATCACATGCCTACTGTGTACTGAGACTAGCTAGGCACTGAGCAAGCAACAGTAAATCAGAAAAGCAGGTCCCAGGCCTCACAAGAGGGAACTTTGGACAAGGAAAGGAACTATTAAAATTCAAGTTGTACCTGCAATGCTTGGGGAAATGAGCTCAAGAGAGAGGGAAGAAATTGGAGACAGAAAGAACAAACACTTTCTAGAAGTTGTGCCTAAAAGGGGCACAGAAAAATGGGGTAGCCAGAGAATGATGTAGTCAAGAGAGGGGTTTTAAGATGGGGGAAACTGCATCATGCTACTGATCTGGTAGAGAGGGAAGCGGCGTTAATGCCGGAGGGGAGACCTAGAGTGACATCCTTGAGTTGAGGGGATATGGCACTTGAAGCAAAGAGGAGAGGTTGACCTCTAGGAGCACAGTTTGCCCGCTATAGTTGGTCCACAGCGCAGGGAGGAAGGCAGAGCTTGTGTACAGATAAAAGATGGATGGATACAGTGGTGAGAGCTCAAGGAAGTTCTCCTGGTGGCCTCTCTCTCTCTCTCTCTCTCTCTCTTTCTCTCTCTCTCTCTTTTTCTTCAGTGAAATAGGAAGCAAGACCATCAGCTGAGAGAGAGTATGGGGAGGGGATGGCAGAGGTGTGAGGAAGAAGGGAGTGTCCAGGGGTCATCTAGAAAAGCAGCTGAGTAAACAGCTCATTTTTAAAATCTCCTACAGGATCTTCATTACCTCAGCAAGTATGCTCTCAGTGTCTATCATGTCCCAGGCACTTTGATAAACACCAAATACTTCTTTTTTAAAAAATATATTTTATTGATTTTTTACAGAGAGGAAGGGAGAGGGATAGATAGTTAGAAACATCGATGAGAGAGAAACATCGATCAGCTGCCTCCTGCACGCCCCCTACTGGGAATGTGCCTGCAGCCAAGGTACATGCCCTTGAATCGAACCTGGGACCCTTGAGTCCGCAGGCCAACGCTCTATCTACTGAGCCAAACTGGTTAGAGCACCAAATACTTAAAAGAATGTGTGGCCATACACTTCAAACACATCGCAAGCACGTTTTAGATTTGAAGCTGAGTGCAGTTTGGACAGCTTGGCAGGGTAGGAGCAGGGGTGATCCAGATTTGGAAAGAGTCATACGCTCTCTTTTTTTAAAATCCATTTGTTTGAGTGATTCTCTTGAAATACAAATTTGATCATATCACACCTTAAAAAACAACAAAAACTCTTTAATGAAGATAGAAAAGAACTTGTGACAAATTGCTTCGGAGGAAGAAAACAGGGATACTAGGGTACAGAGATGAGAGACTTACTTTTTAAGTGTTTAAAGAAAAAAAATTAACTATGTGCATGTAATTCACTACTCAAAAGAAAAACAAAACCCCCTCCTCAAAAGTTTCTTGGTTTTCCACTGCTCTTAGGAGGAAAAAAAGTCCTTAACTTGGTCTATAATGCTCTAATATAGCCCTGCCCCCTCTCCAGCCTGATCTCACGTTAATCTCTCTTCCTTTGCCGCTCTCCAGCGCAGTTACTGGCCTTCGATTCAGCTGTGCTAGGCTCCTCTGGGCTTCAGGACCTTTCTACAGGCTTTTCTTCCTGCCTCACTCATTCTTACCCTGATCTCTTCCCTCCCTTTCTTTTGCCAGTAAACTTCAGGTCTCAACTCTAAAGACACTTTTTTTCAGGTGTTAATGTAAGAAACATTCAAACCTGTAAAAAATTTTTGTGAGTTTATTTGAGCCAAACTGTCGACAATTGTCAGAAAGAAGAATCCCAATGAAAATGGTGGTTTTTCACCTATTTTTATAAATTACCATCAAAGGCCCTAGCCGGTTTGGCTTAGTGGATAGAGTGTGGGCCTCTGAACTAAAGGGTCCTGAGTTTGATTCCAGTCAGAGGCACATGCCAGGTTGTGGGCTACATGCCCAGTAGGGGCGTGCAGGAGGCAGCTAATCAATGATTCTCTATCATCATTGATGTTTCTATCCCTCTCGCTTCCTCTCTGAAGTCAATAAAAAATATATATTAAAAATGAATTCCCATCAAAGGAGATATAAGTGGGTTACATGAAATCCATTGGTGATAGGTTAAGGAGATGGGAGAAAGCAAAGGGGGGAAAACCTCTGAGATTGGATAAGAAGTAAAATGATAGACACATGCTTCTTTAAAATTTTTTTAAATTGATTTCAGAGAGGAAGGGAGAGAGAGAAGAAACATCAATGATGACAGAGAATCATTAAACAGCTGGCCCCTGCATGACCCACACTGGGGATGGAGCCTGCAGGACCTGGAATTGAACTCTAACCTCCTGGGTCACAGGTGCAACACTCAGCCACTGAGCCACACCTGCAGGGCAACACATGCTTCTTTTAATGGGTGGGTACAGGATAGTTAATAATTAACACGGTAACAATAACAATGAGGGAATTTGTGGTCTCCTTGCCCTGGTGTCCTGACGCATTGGTTGTGCCCGGAAGGGTCCGGAAAAGGGGAAGTTACAAGTTACTCTGACATTCCAAAGGTATGCTATCATGGATGCAAAAGGACAATAGGTTCAGTTAAGATCAAAGCTGATCTTTGTCAGAGAAGATACTGTGCTAGGACATGGCTACCCATCATAGACTGCTTTTTAATTAAAAATTTTAATTTAAAATCAGACCATCCTTTGTGGTTACTTTAGGTCTCTGAGTTTGCAAGGCCCCCATGCTGCCTTCCCTAAGTTAGTCAGGTTAGCTTGTGGCTCCTTTTTGCCCACAGAGTTAAGACTTTCCCCGCCTGCATCCCCAGCCCCCACCAGACTCGGTCAGCCCCCCATTCCCCTCCTAACTCTCACTTCCCTGGCATGCACTGCAGCAGCAACCACTTATGAAAAAGGTGAAGTGTAATTCGCTGGTCAGTGGGCTTCACTACATCGTTAGACCTAGGACAGGGTCCCTTGGAGCCCAGCTTAGGGCGTGGCACAGTGAGCGCTCAGGGAGTGTTAGCCGGATGACAGGACGCAGGACCGGCCACCGCCAGGGATGATGTGCGGGAGAGGGAGCTGGATGAGGACGGAGCCTGCCCAGTCTGCAATAGCTACTTCTCCAGCGTCAGCAGGTGGAGGACCCTGGGGACCAGCCCGCAGGGTGGGCAGGCGAGCGAGTCCGCCCTGCGCCTGCGCACCCCGGCTCCACCCTGGGGAGGGTCCGCCCGCCCGCCCCGCCCCCCGCCTGTGCGTGCGCACCGCCTAGGGCCCGCCTCCGTGAAGGACTGCCGGGCGCATGCGGCCGGGCTGCTTCACTGGCTGCCGGGCCCAGCAAGCTCGTCGCCCTCCCCGCTCTCAGCCGCCTGGAGGATCTGAAGCGGCCCTCAGGTAGGCTGGCCCCGGGGACCCCGGGGAGCTGTTCTCCGTGCAGAAACCCGCGGCGCGAGCTGAGCCGCGCGGGACAGCCTCGCCGCCGGGTGACGGGCACCGCTCGCACCAATCAGGGGTGACGTGGGGCGCCGGCCTGCCCAATGGGTTGCGTGCCTAACGGGAGTGGGGCGGCGGCCGGACCGACGAGGAGCCGGCTCC